TTAGTATATTCATAAGTAAAAGATGCATAGGAAAAAATTAAAACAAATTTAATTCGTAGATCATTCAAATGTTATGGCATTTCAGTTAAAACTGATAGTTCTGAAGATAATATAATTTTTGACTATGATAGTCTTATAGTAGATAAAGAAAATAAAGAAAATGATGAGTTAATTGGAGATAACAAATTTAGAGAGGAAGAATTTAGAAAGGAGGATTACAATAATTGGGATGATATTAATTTTGCTAATGTTTGAATAAATAATAAAGTTTTATTTTTGAATTGATAAAATGTGTATTTGATAAATAAATATTGTAACAGTATATTAATCACATGATTTATTTAATTTTATGATTATTTTTCAACTAAAAAAACCTCCTATTTAACCACCCAGGTCTTTTACAAAATTTTGACCTAAAACCTTAGAAGGGTATTTTGCATAGAGAGGTAGTTTAGTCAGCACTCTACAGTATTTATGTCTTTGTTGTTTTAAATGTGACAAATATTTTCTAACGCTTGCTTTTTTAACAAATCACAAATGAACAGTATATCCTGTCAGCTATAGATAATCTAAAAGAAAAGGTAAAAAGCCAAAACTCCTTAACTCTTGATGATTTTTCCCTTCTTTTATCGCAACAAAAACAAGAAAAAATATTTCATTTTGAAAAAATATGTTTAAGGAAGTACCTGTCAGATCAAGATTGATAATTGATAAATTGTGTAATGTATATCTGATCACATGATTTATTAATAAAATTTTAAATAAAATACTAAACCACACTTATCACGTGATTTTATATAAGTTATGTATAACCTAAGATTATTACTAATTCCCCACCCTCATAGGAGGACTATCACATGATTGGTCAATCCTAATTAATTGCCAGATACATTATTTATACAGTTTAAAGTACTTTCAAAAAAGTAACATTTCACTTATAAAAAGTAAAAGATTTTTTTTTTCTAGCTTTAAAAGAACGTTAAAATTCACTATGTAAAATAATCCAAAAATAATCCCAAACCTCAAAGTACTTTACTTAAAAGACAAAAATACTTTCATCTACCATTATTATTAGACTATATGTAATTACTATATAGCTATATATCGAAAATATTTAACTAACTAAAAAAAATAAAAAAAAGGTAAATATTTATAAGAAAGTTTATTTTGAGTTTTGATGATTTTGATAATACTATATATTTAAGAAAAAGTATTAATTTTATTTTATTTTTTTTTTTTAAATAGAAAATATGTTATATATTTTATATACTTGTAAAATGAATTGATATAATAATTATAATAGGAAATCTAAATCAAACTTACTTGTTTATCTACTTTCAAAGAGACAGAAATAATAAAAAATTTTTTTTACTATTAATTATTTGCAAATTCAAAGAGAAGATTTTTAAGTTTTAGAAATAACGATGTTATATGATTATATATAAAAATTATAGTATCTTAATGTAAAATTTGTGTAACCTATCTGACCAATCCCATGACTCCCACCTCATAGGAGGACTTTTATGTGATTAGCTAATCAATTTCAATTGAATTTATACAATTTAAAGTACTTTTTAAGATTTCGATAATCTACATAATAAAAAAAAATTTTATTTCTAGCTCTGAATTAACTTTAAATTCACTGTACAAAAGAATCTCAAAAGAATCTGAAAACTAAAGGTACTTTAGTTAAGAAGCAAATATGCCTATTACTGGATCATACAAAATTACTATATGCTGAAAAAAGTCAACTAACTGGAAAAAGGTGACTGAATATATTCTTGATAAAGGTCGAGTTAACAATACTTTGCCAAATTATGTACAAGAAAATAATGTAATTTGCTTGGATTATTATAATGGAATTATAATGAGAAGCTCGCTTGAATTTCAATAACATGCTCAAGCTAATGAATCTCATGTTCAAACTAATGCCACTTTATCCCTTTCTAAAGCAATAGAAATGCTAAAAAACATTTTATATACTCGTGAAAATAAAGAAAAAAAACTAACTTTGTATTCTTTTGATGAATTCTGAACAACTATAGAAGCAGAAGATATAAAATTAAAGCAATTTTTTGATGAATTATATCTTTCATCTAACCCATTCTCTAAAAATAAGAATTCACAAGCTCAAGTAAAGAAGCAACTTTTATTTGTATGCTATTTCCTTTGTAAAATTCAGAATAAGTTCGTCAATGATACAAAGAGAGATTTAGGTATGTATTTAGATTCTAGTGATACTTCTAATACTTCTATAGATATTCTTGCAAATTTAGGTATAACTACTACATCTCGTATGATTACACGATACAAAATACTGCATCTGAAAAACACACTAAGACTGTTGATTCTGCACTTGCTGAATATGCAGATAAAGCAATGGTATTAAATATCAATGATTATCATAGTATTCATACTAAACGGATGCCTAATACAACCACCACATCTATTGCTGCACATTTAGCAACAATCCTAATAAAGATGGGAACTGTAATTAATATGTTGCAACTTTTAATGTTGCAACTTACGTTGCAATTAGTTTTAACCTATATATGTTGCAACTAATTTTAGCTTATGTTGCAACATTTTGTAAATTTGAAATCAATTGCTGTACCATCTTTAAATCCTAATTAATCTGATTCCCTTCACAGAATGCAATCCAAAAAGCAGATATATATAATCCTATATTAGTTGATGCTGAGTTGATCAAAATGAATTTGGAAAATAAATTTATGATGCTTTATGGATTTTCACATAATCAACATTAGGGATTTCGTGCAGTTGATAATGATACAAAATTAGAAGAATTAACTGTGCATAGTTACAATATTAGGCTGAAAGAAAAACGTGTTATTCACTCTATGAAGAATGTTATTCTTGTAGATTTACAAGAAAATAACCTTCATTCTTTAGATGCATATATTAAAGTCATTAGCGCTATCAAAAATATTCTGTCTATACAACAATATATTCAAAAAAGACAGATTATTCCTATTGTTGCTGATTGGCTGGATCAAATTTATCTTAGAACAGCTATCTCTTATTATCTACTTCATCATAATTCTTCAAATATTACTGATTCTATCTTATCTTTTATGGTCCTCTACATATTTCATTAAACAGCTGAGAATTGGTATTTCTTCAGTATCAGCCTTTCTTTTCAGCTATGTATAAGGACATATTTGAAGAACAAAAACCGCTTGCACAAAAACCCAAATTATGGCATATTAATCTACTTTTAGAAATTTCTTGTAATGCTTGGCAGGAAATTTCTAAAGTAGTTGAAGCAAAATTTGGATCCTTATGTAAAGATGCCGAATATCTTACACTTAAGAACCTTCTTGACAATACGATTCCTCTAATTCTAGATATTTACGCTATATTTTTTTGATCCGGTGACTTCAATACTTATTTGAAATTATGCTTTCATGTCTAGACAATATTTCTTAGATTTCAACGAAAGTACCATTAATGTTCTTTTCTGATATTTTTTACTAGGAGTTACATAACCATCCAATTTTAGAGACCATTAAGGCTGAACTTCCAAAATTCTCAGATGCAACTGTTGAGATTTTTCATAGTTTCTTGCGAAGAGGTACACAGAAACATACAGAGGCATAATAGATTATTAAATATGGATATTATATCAACCAATTATGATTGGATGATAATGGTTTTAAGGAAAATTTTGCACACACATCAATATGGGCAGCATATGAATATTCTGCACAGGATATTATAGTTTTAACAAAAAAAAGTGCTTGTTTTTGTTAAAATGTTTTTATGACATTTATAAACGCTTATTTAATGATAAAATGCCATTAATATTTCTATTACAGCCAATCCCCACGAGCTCATCTTCAAAAAGAAAAGGGAAAAAGAAATATAATGATGACACCATTATTTTAGTCATAATGAAAATGCCAGAAGCAAAATTATGCCAACTTCCTTTAGATCTCAGTACTTTGCATAAACCAAACCCATTTAGTTATTATAATACAACTAATTGTTCTGTTCTTTCATCTATTAATATAGGTACAATTATAATTTTAGCTTGTGGCTATACATATCATAAAATTTGCTATGATAATAATAGATTCAAGTATTTATATTGCCTTTTATTTTTATAAAATGGTGTTGATGAATATGTCCAGTCCTTACTAATACGATTGCAACAATTCAATGAAGTGCAAGTTGAAAAGGATGATGATAATATTTCTTATGATGATAATGATGAAAATGAACCAGTAGAATGTATGACATTTACATTGGAAGAAACATTGCAGAAATTTCAATCACAATAATATTTATAAATAATAAATAAAAGCTTTGGTTTATTTAATTAGTAATTCAGCTTTATTTAACTTGATCGTTTGCTGATTTTATACTAGTCTAAAAAATTAAAATAAATTTGTAAAAATTTGTAAAAATAAATAAATTTTAAGGACAATTTTAACATTCACCGGAGGTAAAATTCACCACTAATCTAATATTAACATCTAAGTAACATTACACAAAATTCCAAAAAGGAAATTTTGCAGAATTTTGTGTTTGGTTAAAATAGATTACACCGGATTCCTTTTTTTGGAAATTTGTGTAATAGCACGTAATTTCTGTTGATTTAGCTGCTTGATTATTCTAGCTAGGTCATGTAACAATTTATTGGCTGATATTGAAGTCAATTGACATAACTAGCAAGATAATCATTTAATTAATCAATATGTATATATCTAAAATTTTAGACTTTTCTCTTACGATTGATATAAAATATTTAGACGCATTCTGACACATAACCTGGTTTATCATTTTCATGTAACTTTGATGCATATCGGCATCTTGAATAGATCTTTTATATAATATCTGATATATAATTACATTTACAATGACGTACTTTCTTAAAAAAAATTCACTACATTTAAATTGTTATGTGATATAAACCAACTTTATTATAATTTTATTATAAAAAGTAGTAAAATTATGATCTTCTTGACCTTAATCTCTTAATATTCATCATTCTTGACATTTGGACACTTCTTTTGATAACGTTCAGGTATACTGCATAAATGACATTTTCGTTGTACTTTTGAACTTACTTCTTCACTATCAACTTCTTGTATATTATTATTAATTTCACCTACCCTTTTACCTTTTAACTTTTCCATAATAACTTTGATTCTTTTTTTACAAGGAGCTCCTCTAATTTTTGTAACATGAGGATTTGTTGTTTGGGCTATCAAATGCTATTGTAAGGGAAGTATTTCACCATCACTTTGATTATTTTCATTATTGTTACTTTCTGCTATATTCTCTTCTAAACTAACTTCACTATTTTTTTTGAATGAAATAAAGCTTTTTAGCATTTAAACTAGCTCATTATCGCTTTTAGTTTCTAATATGATATTAATTGCCATTTTCGCAATTGAAAATGCTACTCTGAACTTATTTCTTTGAGGAATATCTTATTGTATGTTTTCTTTATGGTCAGACCTTTGTATATGTCTCAAACTTTCAAAAGTAAAATCCACTTCATATGGTGTTATATCATTAATAGATATTATTATAAGGACTGGTAAATTTTCAAGGACATTATCAAACTTTATCTTTATATTATCTAACAGGTATAATGCTAATATGAAACTTCACTGCATTTGAATAAAGTATCACACGCCAAAAATGGCGACAAATTATCCCTTAGTTATTGTTTCTAAACAAGTGCAAATGTGAGTTCCATTATTAAAAAGAGCTACCAGATTGCTTTTATAAGAAATGCATTCTACTCAATAAATTTTCCATATTTCAACTATTTTTTTCACATCTATACCATCTAACACCGCTTTTAATATTATTTGAGGTTCGTCATCTACATCCTCTACAAAATTATTATCTATCATATCGCTATTTATGTCCTAAAATAAAATACTGTGATTAGCTTTTGAATAAATGGTACACAATTAAAATAATTACGATCAAGCTAGCTATATTATCATACCTCAGATAAATATAATACCAATCACCCTTCATATGTGAATGATTGTGAAACCTGAAAACGTTACCAAGATAATACGAGTAGTGATAAGAATTCTATAAAGATATTATCAATACTTGAAAAAATTGAGAAGAGATATGCGGAAGGCCAATTGTCGTATATTTCCCCTTAATATTTATTAATTGATAATATCGTATTTCTTCTTCTTGCTTTTTATTAATTGCTGCTTCAATATCACAAAGTGTGCTAGCATCATTTAAAGACTTCTTGATAATATTATTAAATAATTCTACGCTTTAGGTGTTTTGTATACCAGCATTAAATTGTAATGATAAATAAGCCTTAGCCTAACTGATTCGATTGATATATAATCTGGCTATATAATGCTTACATTCTAGAAAATTTTTTATCATAAATTCCCAACATTGCTCAAAAATTTCTATACATAGCGCATTTTAGCAAGAATAGAAAACCTTAGTAAATTTATTGAAATCTAAACTCAATTTAGCTTTAAGATATTTTATGATGTTTTGTCAAATGTGAAATAAGCAGTAAAAATGTGGTGTGGTAGAAAAGACTTACGAAATAGCATTAATTAAACCAGGTTCTGAATCTGTCTAAAATAATTTTGGGGTAATACCTGTCACTTTTAATAAACATTGAAGAATCCATGTATATGTTAAAGACATTTCATCCTTCACTAGTGCATTTGCAATATTCTGAAACCTCACATAATTGTCTTTAATCATAAAAACACTTAAATACATGTTGTATTTATTTGTTTTACAGGTATTGTCATTTAAAACTATATCAGAAAATCGTTGATATAGTTCTTGTTGAACAGGAGACATCCAAAAAAATATCGGATAAATGATGCTCATTATCAGCATTTCAAATGTAAACTTTCCAACGCAGTTCTTGTGATAATTTTTCAAAAAGAATGTCGAGTATCGAATTAGTATCAAAATTCTCATCTTTGTTACTTTTAAGCAGGTTATAAATTGCATTGTAAACATCCTGCTTATGAAATACATGTTCTGGATACTTTTTTTAAGTATCTCTAACTGCGTAATAGGTGCCACTTTGCAGTCTGTAAAAAAACTTAAGTCCTGAATCATTTCTTTACTAAAACGTCTATACATAGCAATAATATTTGATACTTGGAAGGGATTTGTTTTGTGATTGTGTGTATCTTTCAACAAAGTACATTGTATTTGATTTGTAGTCTTCGTGAATGTAAAGTTGCAGTGCCATTTGCATTCTGTTTTAATGGTACCACATATACGTTGTATTTTATGATCAATCACTTTTCAAACTTTATAAGGCTCACTTGATGAACATTGAAATAATTTTTGATGGATAATAGTGGGATCTTTTGGATCCTTATCGCTATGAAAAATTTGATAACTGAAGCCTCGTTTTAAACAGTACTGATTAAAGATGATACAGCAATTGATTTCAAATTTACAAAATGTTGCAACATAAGCTAAAATTAGTTGCAACAT